GAATAAAATGAGTAAAAGCATTGTCAACATTGGAAGAAACACATCAACTGTTATTTTTTTTGTTTTTCCTTTCTGCTTTTTTTTTGTTATATATATATTTTCTTAATGAATGCCTTCACTCGATAGGAGATATATACATCACGATAATTTCTCAACCATATTAGGTCTGGTAGGGAAATTTTTTTAGATGTATCTCATGTGCTAGTTTAGAGAACAATCAAAGGTAATCCATAGCATTGTACATCTTGCTTGATTAAATTAAACTGCTTCATAATCTCGACCTTATAAGTGATAAGACTATTGGATACGAGAACATGAATTTGACATTAAGAACAAGTAAGAATGGAAATCATAAAGCTTAACAATGAATAAAAGTCAACAGACTTCATTTTTTAAAGAAAAGGAAACTAAAAGTTCAGAGATATTTTGTTAAATCTCTTGAACAAAAAGAGACTAGAATATGTTTTTAAAAGCTTTGGTAAGAACAAGAGTTAAAATGATCCAATTTCTTTGGATAAATAACCTTGAGAATTGGTTGCCTAACTCTCCTAAGAGTTCATCTCATGTAACTCACTCCTTCTTTGAGCTTAGCTAGAGACATTTGATAAAATCACCTTTTTAACCACATGTTATTCTTCACAGAAACGTTGTTGCGATCCACTTTGAATTTCAAAGACTGTCTTTTTTGCCTTAGCGCTGAAGCTACCCASTTCTTGAATGTAAATGATCGCTCCAATTTCAAAATGACGTTTCTTTATGGAATGTTGTCTAACAGCCCACTTTGTGTAGTGAAGGATCCCTGAAATGAGACTTTATTAGTTTGAAGACAACATTTGCTTCAACGTGCAGTTACAATTTTGCCCCGATGTAACATTGCTTGACTTTGCCCTAGTTTGAAGATTTGGAGCATTTGAAACTGATGTTATTGATTTATGCTGATTGCCTCAGTCATTGAACTAAAGTACTATCATAGCCTTAGACAAACTTTTTTTTTTATCTTTCTTTTTCTTTTTTCCCTCGATTTTCCTCTTTTTTTTCTGGGCCAGACACAACTTTTTTACAAACAAAATAGGGTAAAATTACATATAAAATGTCGATCATGTGTAAGTCGCCTTTTGTCACCTTGACTGTTGTTCTAAATTATTTCTTTGCTTTTGCTGCTTCAGTATATAGATGAAATTGTTCTCAAGTGAATCTCATCAAAGGAGACTGAGATCTTGAGACAATTTGTCAGGTCGCTCACTTCCCAATTCTCAAAACTACTATTCTCAGTCTTGAAATCACATTTAACTCAAAATAAGAGAAAAGACAAATGATTGGACTAGAAAAACAAGATGAAATAGAAAGTGAAAAAAGGAAGTCAAAGTAGGGAAATTTTGAGCAACTACAAGTACCAATTCATGAAGCAGTCAATCGTAAGAGCCCAATGTTATTTTATTACCTTCAAAGTTTTCTACTAGGTGGATAATTTTGGACGTTTACCACACAATTAGATGTGGTAGGCTTAGCAAAAGGCATTTATGGTAAGTAATCAAATATTGATATTCATCACAAAAATTATATGTGACAAATTGAGTAAATGATTTTTTGCAATAAATGGTCAACTCTCAATGTTGACCATATTTTCCATATATTGGTAGGCTAAGCTCAAGGTAGATTAGGCTTAAAGCAGACTAGGCTCAAGGTTTTATAGAGAGTGAGTAATTTGGACTCTCACCTCAAAAAGACATACTTGCCCCAACATGAAAATTTAGTGGTTTACTGGTTCATACATGAGAAGAAATAGGGAAGCCAACACAAAGCTGCTTTGAGTTAGAGTTTAGCTTGAGAACAAAGCTTGGTAAAATGGTTGAGTTTTGAAAAAGATGATACCTCATTGAGGACATTGAAGACATTCACAATTTTTTCATTTTCATTTCTTTCTTCACAACTTTTTTTGTCATTTTTTTCACTTCTTTTTTCGTTTCCTCCAAGTGACTTACAATGATTGCTTTATGATTCTTGCTAAAGTATAACCAACAAGAATGATAAGGATAGGTCTTACAAAATTATTATTGAAAATCTCAAAACATGTAATTTCGATTTTATCAAATGGATTTTTAAATAAAACATTTTTTTGTTTTTCTAACAAATGATATGATATGTAGTGATGTATGAATGAACGTATGACTTTTACTTTTTCTTTTAAGAACAATAGCTCAATTTCCACATACTCACATTCTTTTTGACAAGTACTTAGCTAAATCATGAGTGACGAAAGCTTCATTGCCGTTTTAACATTAACTAACTATGAGTCATTTGCTATATTTCAAACTTAGCAATCTAAAAGATGGCTTCAAGGGGAAAAAAAGACTTTATTGATAATGTAGAGCAATAGGTCAATATTGATTTTCATAATCTTGTACATTCATGATTCTAGTGCTTCATGTGTTGACCATCTTCCTTTGAAAACCTTAGCCATCCTGCGTTCATTAGAACTTGCACTTTATGCTTAAGTGATGTACAATTCTCAGTTGAATAGCCTATAGCTCCTGCGTGGTAATCACAGTGGACTTGTGGGTCGTACCACTTTCGATAAGGCGGTTGCAATTATTCTACAGGTATCGGAGCTAATAAATGACTTTGAAACAATTGGGATAGCAACTCGGTATAGGATATTGAGATTGGATGAAAGCTCTCTCGCTTTAGTTGTCTCCGACTATATTATTGTCTGGTAATATCGGCGATCTTATTTCTGGGTAATACTACAGAGCCAACAAGTTTATAGGTACCATTGAAGGATTGTATTTCGTAGATCCTTGTTGGTGCCTCTACTTGCGTTTCGAGATTACTGCATGGACTTTATTTTTCCTTTTAATAGAACTTCTATTATTTTCAAGATGTGGCTCTTTATCAATTAAAGACACTGGCAGTTGTTTGGTTGCTTCTCTCCATCTCCCTACACTTTCTTTTCCTGCAGTTTCTTTTTCTATTCCCTACTGAGCATGGGTTATACCTATGTCATGCTTGTATTGATTTAGAAAGGAAATTTCCTAGATCTCTTCAGCATTTCCATTGGTAACATTTTCTTTTTCTTTACCTTTTAAATTATCTGAGTAATTGGCCTTTGATGTTAGTMCATTTTGGAATGTAAATTCAACCTGAGATATTGTAGGAACTTGTTGGCTTTTCTTGAAAAGCTAAGCTTCATGTGACGAACTGTGCTAGGGGAAGCCCTCTGTTGATTGACAAAGAGGTGGGTCCACCTTAGGTGATGAATTATTATGAGGTTCGACTGAATTGTTAGGTTGAAAAATGTCCCCAATTGTAACAATATTCTTTAAGACATTGAAAATTTTTGTGACTTGCCCTGAATCTTATCTATGTCTTGTCTCATCTTCTTTAGCTCTACATTCTGCACCTCCATGACCTGTTCTTGAATCTCGCCTCTTATTTTCTTTAGCTCAATATTCAATTTTTCCATGACCCGTTCATGGATTTCAATTCTAATTTTCTTTAGCTCAACGTTAAATTCTTCCATGTTATACTGCTTTATGTATCTTGTATATAAAGAATAGTAAAAATGTGGCTCTTGAGCTATTTTTTTTAAGAGTTCATGTTAATTATGACGTAATGGAGAATCCATAAATTTTGATTTTTTAAGATAGAAATTGATATGCATGAGATAACGTTATGCAAATTTTGGATCACAAATTAAAGGAAATTTTAAATGATTATGAACATGTGCAATGATGCATGCATAAGATGATATTTTTTTAATTCATCAGTATAAGATGAAAATTTACAAAACTCTTAAAATTCTATTATTAGTTATTATTAATGAAATAATTAAGCTCTTCCTAGGTTAAAAAACTTTTTACATATTCTAATTTTTTAGATTACCTGTTATCCTAAAAAATAAATTTTTTAGATTTCATGCAATTGTTATATATGGTTGACCCTTATTATTTAAAATTTATTAATTAATTTACTAGTTACCATTACTTTTCTATGGCATGTTTTATAAATTTATAAATTTAAAAAAGATTGTAATAGTCTAAATTTCTTATAAAATTGGGAGCTATAAGACGTCTGAGTTACCAAATTAAAAATAAAATATATATGCACAAAAATTTTAACTAAAATAACATAAGAATGCTAATTATAATAAATATTAACAAATATAAAATAATAAAATAATAATATAGCAATTATAAAATAACAGAAACACAACAATGGTAACAACAAAAAAAAAAGTTAAGAACTAAATCAATACACATATCTTTGGAGATAGATTGGTCTTATTAGACAAACATTGGTAAGTAACTTCATAAAAGTAAAATTATAATCATATAAACTTACAAATCAAGATACAACGTTTCAATATATAAATTTTCGTTACAATTTGAACGTATCATATATGTCTTGAATTACTTTCAAGATTAGAAAGATTTTGAAAGCAAAGAAAATGAGGGATAACAAAAAAGAATGAGAAAATGTAGCTTGAGTATTGGTGGAAAATGGTGGAGGAAAATGCCTATTTATATAAGTATAAGATGAAAATGTCACAAATCTTTTAGAATTCTACAAATTCTATTATTTATTTATTATTAGTGCAAATAATTAAGCCTTCATAAATTAAATAACACACTTTTTCATATTCCAACATTTGAAATTCCATTTAATTGTTACGGTTGATAATTAAGTAAAAAATATTTATTATTGATAATTAATTAATTAATTAATTTACAATTAATTTTCTATGGCATATTTTGTAAATTTATAAATGAAATGAAGGATATAATAGTCCAAAAATATTTTTCCGAGATTCTCACTTTTTCATATAGTATAAATATAAATATAGATTTGATTACAATTCCTTATAAGTAAACTACGCCTAAATAGATTGGACTTGGACCCTAAATGGGCCTCATGGGCCGTACCTGATAAGCAGCTAGTATAGGGCCTGCGTGTGCCGGCCCTTGTAACTCAACTCAGTACCTCCCCTTCACAACGTTATCCTCAATTCCTCGTGCCACCTGCTTCTCCTTGCTTCTTGCACAGAATGGCATTTGGCGCTTCGCTCGTTCGAGTTTCGTCACCGAAGCTCTCTTTAGTCTCACATGCCGAAGCTCTCTCACCCTCCTCGAAGTCGGCGTCCTTTATGGGCGCGCCGCTTAATTTTCTTCCCTCTTCTCGCTCCGGTATGTTACTCCTTCTATGAATGATGTCGTAGCTAGTTTGCTTCCATGGAATATTTGGAAGCTTTATGATTTCTGATTGCGTTACTTATCATTTATTTCGGTATCTAGTTGAGTGCATTCGGACGAATTAGGTTCAGTTTATATATTAGCGGGTGGGTCTAACTTTGTTTTGCCTCACGCTCGTGCATCTTGTTTTTTCTGTTCTATGCAGGGAAGCAAGGGCATTTTCATGAGAATCTTGTGGTTCTGTCCAAGAGAATATCGGGTCTGGAGGAGGCCATGAGAATTAGGAGGTACACCAGAATCATGGGCTTTAAAGCTCTTTGAGCACGTATGGGACTGTTTAATAATTTTCCGATTATTTGCTCTTTTCTCACTGATACCAGTCGATTGAAGTGCTTAAATATTTAAATTATTATTGACGGTTTAGGCTGCTTTTGATGTTGCTTTATGGTAATACTCTTAGATAAATCATATATTTTGTTATTTCTGTTCCAGTGAAGTTAATTAGTGATTGAAAATTGTTATGTAGTCTCTCAGTCCTATTAGCCTATTTTTGAATCTATAATTTGCCTATCATTGCCAACCTGGGATATCAATGGTTAAGGCATCTTTACTGAGGTTGTACTTGTAGGTTCAAATCACCACTCTGCAATGTGGTATGATATTGTTAAAAATAATTTTCTTATTACTGATAAAGGAAAATTGGTGATATATAGTGGTACAGGGAAGAACTTACTCAATCCTACTAGCCAAAATAATGCTTACTCACCAAACTAAGAGATCGATACTATCTATCACGGTTGCTTTGTCTTCTTAGGGATAACGCAAACAAAATTTTCTTGGAACACTTCCATGAAATATGGCTTGATAATGTTCTAACACTTTTTAAGAATTACATGGGCGAGGAGCTTTGTTACCTTCTAAACTTTTAATTGCATTCCAAATCTCCAAGCTGTCTGACTCTTAAAATGCAACGACCATCCTCCGTTCAATTATAGAGAGCTTGGAAAAAGTGCGTTGCTTCTCTCTCAATCTAGCTTTTAGTAAGAAAACTCACGCTCCAATTGTTGACAACTAAAAAATCGTGGCTTCTTTTCTCCTATTGTTAGCAATTTTGTGAAAGAAACCAGAGTTATTGTCACTCTTGAGCCAATGAGTTTTACATTTTTGAGGTCATCACCTATCTTCCCAGACATCACTACGCTTCAATTATTGGTGCAATGCAATATATGGCCACCCAAGTTATTTCATTGAGAATAAAGATAGATTAGTGATGAAGATGTCATTTCTTGAAACTCTCATTGCTTTTGTTGTAATGTTATATTATTTGATTGTAGCTACCTATATAGTTCTTTTTCTTTGGATCATGTAGAGAGCGAGAGCTTGCAATTGTGAGAAAAGTTAGAAAGAGACAACCATTGAGGCGTGGAAAGGTATCGCCACGTCTTCCTGTGCCTGATCACATACAAAAACCTCCTTACATTGGTTCTTCTATACTGCCAGAAATTTCAACCGAGTATCAAATGCATGATTCTGAAGGAATTGCTCAAATGAGGGCTGCATGTCAGCTTGCTGCTCGTGTTCTAGACCATGCAGGAACACTAGTTAGAGTAAGTTTTTGGCTTGTACATTCAATATCAGTTTTGTAAGTTATTGGCTGGTACATAGGACATCAGTTCTTTTATTATATAGTCTAATATATTGGTCTAGGAAGCACCGACATGCTAATTTGGAGCAAGTGTTGGTGTCGGACACGTATCCAAAAATGGCCAATTTTTTTCCTTTTTAATTTCCGACACGTGGGCGACATGTTTCTGACACACGGGCGTCACGTTTTCAGCCCAGCCATTGTTTCTTTTTATTTTTTAAAAAATCTTTTGGGCTTTTAGGCCCACAACCCATCATAATTATTTACTATATTCTAAACAAATATTTTTGACAACCCCAACCCATTTTATTATTTAATCTTTTTGTATTTTTGTTGATATTTAAGGGTAAAAATTTATTTTAAAAGTATTAAATATTGATAATATGTTAAAATATGCACATATATATATTTTTGAAAAAATTAACGTTGATCTTCAACTTGTCGTGTCCTACTTTTTTGGAAATTGACATGTCGCCGTGTCCATGGCGTGTCCGTGTCCGTGTCCGTGCTTCTTAGATACTGGTATTCAAACCTTGGTGGTTGTTTGTCTGTGTTTATTGGTGATTTAATTTTGGTTAGTATATCATATATGGATAATTTTATGTGTTAAATGACAATTTGAGTATCTCTTGACATGTATTATTTTTATCAGCCCTCAGTAACAACAAATGAAATTGACAAAGCAGTGCATCAGATGATTATTGATGCTGGTGCTTATCCTTCACCTCTTGGCTACGGGGGATTTCCCAAGAGTGTTTGCACATCAGTTAATGAGTGCATGTGTCATGGAATACCAGACTCTCGTCAATTACAGGTTCAATTTTTTAAAAATTTTTATCTCAAATATTTGCATAAAACTCATGCCTATTACAATAATATTTCTCTTTTGTGCAGAGTGGTGATATAATAAACATTGACGTGACAGTCTACCTAAATGTATGTTCTTCATTGTTTCTCATTCTGGATTTTAGTCCATATCCGTACATGTTTTCTGCTCATTGTTACGTACATAGATCATTGTTATATTAACCTGTGGAATCTACTTAAATGTTTGACTTAGTTTACAGTTTACTATGCATATGCGTTGCAAACCTGGCTATATTCTGGAAGCTCTCTTCATTTCCAAATACATATATGGGCCACGTTAGAGGAGAGAAAAAAATGTAATGATTAAGTTGTCTCCTTTGGAAAAGAAATCACGTATCTACTATTTAGTTTCCATGATACCAAAACCAAATGAAAACATGAACCTTAGTGAGCGTTATTTTAAACCAAATCAAGCAAAAAGATTCAAATTTTGGATTAAGGTATTTTCACATGGTGTTAAGGAGATTTGTGGAAAAATGTTTCATTACCCTTGAAGGAATGATAGAAACTTGAAGAATGGACATCAAAGAAGTAAACTGTTAAAGATTTGAAGCCCAAGAAATTGTTCTAAATGAAGATTCCAAATTGTCTTGATAAGAGGGACAAAAGGAAGGAGATAGTGTGCAATGATTGAGTGAAACAGATCAAAGGAAATAATGTCTTAAAAAGAAAATACTATCTTCTCTTGAGAGAAGTTTTTTATAACTCACTTGGATGAGTTTTATCTCCCTTTTATAATATCATATCATCAATGAAATTGAATATATACAAGGGAATACAAAAACAAAAGCCCAGAAGGAGGAGCCCTAGCTGAAGTAAGGCTTCCAATTCAAAAGAATAGAACCTAATTGATAATTACAGAACAACTTTTTAACAGAACCCCATAAAGAGACATTAAATCTAATGAGATCCCAAACAGACTCCCTCTCTCTCTCCACCCCTAAAGATTCTGTTGTTTCTCTCCAACCAAATCCTCCACAAAATCACAAAAAAAAAAAAATCTGCCATAGAAACCTCCCTTTCTCACAGAAAGGAGGAAACCAAAGCACTTCCTCCACCATAGCCCCCCAATCTCTATGTCTTCACTAATCTTTTCGTCCTTGAAATTAAATGTATTCATATATTCATCAAATGTTTGGGTGCCAGTTGCAGAGAAATATTTGCAATGGCTATATGTGTAACTATGGTACTCACTGGGAGAAGATCATACTAGAAGGGGTTACTAAGAAGAATGTTGAAGGGAAGATGTGGAACCATGAATTTAATATAGCTTCTTTAGTATCTTTTTTAATGAAAGAGTTAGTATTCAACTTGAAATGGCTTCTTTTACTTTGATGAAATCGTTTCTTTTATCTAAAAGAATATAAATACATACATACTTATAACTTATTAGATTCCACATGTAATGTAAAAGAAGATGTTTTGTAATTATCAGTTAGGTTCTATTCTCCCTATTCTTTTGGATTGGAAGCTCTTCTCCTCATGGGCTTTTGTTAGTGTATGCCCATGTTTTTGTTTTCTATTTTCATTTCTCTCAATGAAAAGTGCAGTTTCATATAAAGAAAAAACTTCTAACTTATATATAAATAATGGATATAAAGAAAAAACTTCTAACTTATATATAAATAATGGATAGATGACGAAATTTGCCTAAAGCCCTTAGTGATAGTGCTCTGATTTGTTGGACTTTAAATGATGTACGGTACAAGTTAGGGTTAAATCTCCCAATTGTCAAGTAATGAGTTTTCACATTCTCAAAGAACTTCCTAAAGATAAAAATTTGTATGCACAATTCCATGCGAGAGCTGTCCTCAATAATTCCATGAATTTTTGTAAGTTGACCTGCAGCACCTACGTGTTAGTTTCCTTCTGAGATGGTTAGATTTGTTTTTACCTCCAATGTTAGGGATATCATGGAGACACATCGAAGACATATTTTTGTGGGGATGTAAGTGACGGAATGAGACGTCTGGTGAAGGTACTTTTTGTTACTTTCAGAACAAGTAATTTTATAATGACTGGCTTAATACTGAAGGATGTTCGAAGTTCATACGCAATCACCTAATGCTTCTCTTTGAATAAATTGTTTATATCTCGTGTACTAATTTCAATTCTATACTAATCCTGGTATTTTATTTTGCAGTATTTCTTTGCTTCTTTATTATTTATATTCTTTTTGTCTTTCAGGTTACAGAGGAATGTCTGGAGAAAGGTATTGCTGTATGCAAGGATGGTGCTAGTTTTAAGAAAATTGGAAAGAGAATCAGGTATTTAATGTAATCTCATATTGTTTTATGTGTGTAACTGCTTTTTGTCCAATGATGGTATGCCAATTCTTAATATCTCTCTCTCTCTCTTTTTGTTCTTTCTCTTACAAAATGAAATCAGAGATCGAGTCATTCATTGAAAACCAGCAATGTATTCGAAATACTTGTATCAATAGTTAAGAAACAGAGAATAAAGGAAGATTCCTCCCCCCACTAATCATCTCATCTCTTCCTTAGTAATGTCGTCTTGTTGATAAAATGCCCATAATTCAAACATCACCACCCAGAAGACAGCAATAAGAATGTTAATTTACTCAATTCTGTTGAAGATGACCTTATCGACCCAGAAGATAAAAACTGAAACCAAAGGTGAAGGAAACCAAACAAAACACCTCAAGAAGAAAGAACTGTAAATGCTAGTCACCAATTTATTGGATCAACGACCATTGTCTGGAAACTCTTAGTATCCGTCCAGATTTATTGCAGCTATACTAATTTTCACAAAGACCAAAGAAGCCTTTTTGACCGGTAAATGGAAGAATGGGACAACCTTTCTTTGATGCTGGAAAATATTAGGCCTGCTGAAAGAATTGATGTCGTATTGGAAGCAGGAAAGTTCTAGAATTTTTCACGGTGAAGTCTGTTTTTTTCTCTCTCCAAAGAGGAGAATTGTGGACTTGGTATGGTACTATGCAACTTGATTCGGGCAGGAGGCTGTCCGAGAAAGGTTTCTTATGGACTTCTGCTCTTGGCAGCATAAACCCCTTTCCAAAAAGAGGAATTCCTACATTCAGTTGTCTCCTCACATTTATGTTATGTGTGAAAGGAATGAAGAAACCACCTCCCATCTTTTTGTTCATTGCAGTTTCATTTCTTGGAATGTTGTGAAAGGTTTCTTATGGACTTCTGCTCTTGCCGCTTTTTGAGTGGAAGTTTGATACATCTCTTTTCTTTAAAAAGAAAATTTCAATTTTCCAAATCTGAATGAATTTGAATCATATTCGATGCTAGTTTTCAATAAAGGGGGACTAAAATTTGTAATTTCACAAGATTTAAGGCAAATCTTCCGTGCAAAGATGCACATGAAGAATGAGAAGAAAATTCTATAAGATGGACATGTGCCAACCTATTTGATCCTGTGTGATGTAGGGCTACTACTTGGTTGTCATGCTGCACGTTATACCTTCTCATGAAAGTTTTTCATGCTAAGTTATAGGTTCGTTTAGTCAATGTTAAAGGGTTTCAATCTTGCAGTCGTCCTGAAATTTGCATCTGTGCAGAATATGAAAATATCCTTTTATAGGGAAATTTTAGTAAAATGATGAAATATACAAAGGAAAATTCCAAGCCAATGGAATGAAAGCACCTTCCAATTTTGACATGTCATAGGGAGAGATAATTACAAAAGTAATTGAGTGGGCACTTAAAGACCACGGAAATAATAATGTCCCAAAAGTCACTTTTGAAAAAGTAATGTCCTAAAAATCTTTAAAAAATCTGAAAAACTCTACTTCCTCTGGAACCATAGCTCTTAATAGATAGGTCTCACCACATTAAGCCACAAATTTCTTCCTTGTCCCTAAACGGTGGCATATAAGCATGAGCAAAGGGGCATCCTTGAGGCTTCTAGGAAAAGCCAGGTGTGTATGGAATACACTCAAAATCCTCTGCCACACCTTGAGAGCTAAGAGCCACCATGAAAAATATTGACAACCCATTAATCACTATTCTTGGTGAAAATTTCTGTTCTGGAAGTGGATCTAGCACTTACTCTATCCTGGATGGCTTACTAATATATTCCTATCTCGCACATGTTTATCTGTTTTAGCAAGTGTATTCTTTCAATTGATCAGGAGGCCATAGTTGCTTTACACAATTCACTTAACTGTTAACTTATGAAGCAATAGAATCTTAATAATTCTAATTCAGAGTGGTTATCATCCATATAATTTTGTATTGTGCTACTGTTGGGCTGTTTTTTTTATGCTCTTTGTATATTCTTTCAATTCTCCCCATGGAAGTGCTGTTTCTCAAAAGTTATGTGCGCGTGTGCCTAATTAGTTAATTTTATCCTCTGCAACGGTGATGGATTGATATATTTTACATTGTTCCTAACGATCTCCTACGCACAATACCAGTGAGCATGCTGAAAAATATGGCTATGGGGTGGTCGAGCGATTTGTTGGGCATGGTGTGGGAACCGTATTTCATTCTGAGCCACTTATATATCACCACCGTAAGTGGTCCACTATCTCTCTCTCTCTGGTACTTTTACTGTTATCTTACTAAATCGTAGTCTCTTTTTTGTAACTCGTTAATTGGTATGGCCAGGCAATGAAGAACCTGGTCATATGGTCGAAGGTCAAACTTTTACAATTGGTGAGTGGTCGACCTTATTCTCTAAAATTAATATTGCCTCTGTGTACTTGCATTCTTAGAAGCTGCTGCAATCTTTTATCTTTAGCATCTAAGTGAAAGTTTCTTTTGTCCGTCAGATGGATTTTGTTATTCATAGGCATTATATTGAAGTATTAAGAATAAAAATAAATAGAGGAAAATTATTTTTCCATTTGAATGAAAATTAACGAAATGAATGCATGTGAAGTATGGTTCCACAACCACCAGTATTTTGCGTGCAAGTAAATTTTGTAAATTTTTTTTCCAAGTGATGTGGCATATTATTGGTTCAAGGTAGAAGAAAAGTATCCAATAAAACTGAAATATGGATTTTATAAACATCATTTGCTCGAAGGAAACTTATTTTTCCTTTCTTTTTTGTCTGATAAGAAACAATTCATCATCATTAAAGGGTCAAATGTAGAAGCAAGGGTAGACAAGTCACTCTTTCCTAAAAATTCCCAAGGAATTATAGAAAGGCCCTCCCATTGGTTTGGATATTTAAAGAATTATGATTACAAAAAGAGTTAGACAAAGAAACCATACATATTAAAACCTATAAAATTTTCCTATGCACTTTTGTCATCTACAAATTCATTCATCCTGCAAAATATAATGATTTTTGTCGAGCTGAAATCCCCAAAATGTAGCACCGGTTAAGTCTGCCAAACCTTTGGTTTTCCATACGGCATGCAGATCACGTCCCAAAAAATATTGAAATGATAGAATCATGAAGATGAGAGGCAGGCCCATTGTAGATTGAAGTTGCCAGCAGTTCCAAACAATGAGGAGCATAAGTTTGTGAGGAGAATTAGTTTGGATTCATAGAAAATTTTGATTCTTCAATAATTCGGAGTCCAGAAACAAAACTGTACATGTTTAGAGATCGAATGTCTAAATAAAACGTGTGAAACATTTAGCCCATGCTAGAGCACCCCTCTCAATTGGATTACTCCATAGTCTCAGGTTTCGAGCTTGCTCATCACTCTTAACCACTTTTATAGTGCTTCGATGGCCGTCAGCCGTCAGCCGCCAACCAAAAAGTAATTATTTATAATTTAGGAAAGATAATGTGGAAGGCTATTCCAGCTCTCCAAGGATCCTTTTAGAAATCAATTCTACAGTCTAAACAAGTTTCAGCACTTAGCAATACAAAACGATGGGACATCCGGAGCTGCTAAATCTGCAAGAACAAGTAGACACCCTGTAGGAATCAGTTCCATGCTCTCAATAATGAAGGGCGACAAACTAGTGTGCTCCTTTGACAATCTCCAAAGCCAAGTAGAAATCAGAACTAGATTTTCTTCGCCACCTTGTGGATACGAAGCCCTCTACATTCCTTTTGGAGAGAGACCTCCCCCAATTGTTTACCCTCCAAATGAAACTTTAACTTTAGTTATTCCTTATGCTTACTTTTAAGTAATAATACACATAAGACAAGGAACTCGGTACTCAAAAATAAAATTATTAGTTGTACTCCTTGGTATTGTCTCTGTTACAGTTTTCCTATCTTGACATTCCATGCCTTTTAAAGCTTGTGACATGGTCATTTGTGAGATGGCACGACTATACGAACGGGGTTGTTGTGAGTCCGTGTGTGTGTATGATCTAATGCAAGATTCGGTGGTTATTAGTACTATTCAGTACGGAAGATTACCCATTAGTAAAACTTGTAAATGGAGGGAAAGTCAGGCTTGGAAGTGTGTGGAATTTTGGCCGTTCTCTCCCTTATAGGCTTCTAGTTGAACATACCTCCAAACTGGCTTCATTTATATTCATAGTTCTAACTTCTTGACTGCAGAACCAATTCTTACCATGGGAGGCATCGAGTGCATAACATGGCCAGACAACTGGACTACTCTAACAGCTGATGGTAGTCCAGCCGCTCAGTTTGAGCACACTATTTTGATAACTAGAACGGGAGCTGAAATCTTGACCACCCCTTAGACATTAATTACATGTATATACGCAAGGAACTGTATGTAGCTCAGTTTACCAATTTCATTCACCAGTGATGTGTTGTCTAGCATATACTCGTATTGGAATTTTTCAAAATGATGGTACACATCCATTAGACCACTATTTCCAACTGACTCAATCAGCTGAGTTTCAATATAGAATTCAAACCTGTCTAGAATTATTCTTTGAACATGTCTCATCGTGCCCCTTTTATCTTGGGTGACACGTACGCTGCTATATCAACAACATAATGGAGGGCATTGATTCCAAATTTAGTTGAAGCCAAAAATAACACTATTGCTGTATAGGATGAAATCATAATGAAATATATGACATTTATCAAATTTTTAGAAAAGGGTTATAAGAAATGGATTGATAATCCTTTTTTGACTTTCGTGGATGAAATTTGTGGAGTTAAAAGTTAGTTTTCATAGCTTTTGGACATGGAACTTGGGTGAGCTTTAATCTGATTGATGTTGTTGAATGAATAACATATGAATTGTGTATAGTGGTAAAATGCCAGTTGAATCTACAGCTAGTAACAATTGATTGAGCATCCATGAGTAAAATACTCATCCTAATTTTTTGCACAAGTTACACAATTCACAAATCTCTTTATGGTTTGAAGCAAGTGTTGTAGGCATGGTTTGAACGTTTGGCTATTCATTTACTAACGCTTTGTTTTGTTGCCTCACTTGCCATCTTTTTTTAATTTGTCCGTTCGTTATTAATTATTGTATGTTGATGATATTATCATCCCCAACACAAATCTCTCTTATATTGTTGAACTTAATATTGAATTAAGTGCTGAGTTTTAGATCACGGAAGTATTTTCTCGGGCTTGAGATGAGTAAATACTAAGGTGGCTTTTTTGTTACTCAGGCCAAGTACTTGATTGTGATCTTCTTGTTAAATCTAGTATGCTTCATGCAAAATCTTGCTCTACGATGCCGTATACTTGTGATTTTCATGCTGCTTCTCCTTTGTCTCCTGACCCTCTTTTGTGTAGGCAAATTGTGTATTCTATACTGTATTTGACTTTACACATGTTGATATTTATTTTGCTGTTAACAAAGTAAGTTTATCCATTGCCCCTCTATATACCATTTTTTTATCATTGATAAAATTTATTACGTTATACCAAATATAAATGCAGAAAAATATAATACAGACATACCATTTTAGCATCATTGACATATATACCAATGTAAAGAATATAACTACATGTCAATTTTTGTATCATTTTATATAGTATATTGGTGATATACCAATAAATATATATCACTAATATCCTATTTTTATATCATTGATAAAATTTGTCATGTGTACATCAATATAAAGTATGTATGATATACCAATATAAAGTATATAGTCAACTTATCATTTTTTATCCTTAGCAAAATATATCACATGCCAGTCTGAGTATAAATACGTGGATACGACATTTATTACTATCTCAATTTTTGAAATATAAAAGATAAAGTATATTACAGATATACTTAATGCAAAGTATATCTCTAAGATACAAATTCTTACCTTTGTGCCACTAAAACATTTTATCATACCACAATTGACATTAGCAATTATTTAGGCTAAATATGATTTTATAAAAAAGAAGGATAAATATGTGCTATTATTGCAAAAGCCCCCATATAGACTCTAGTTTGCCACTATTTTCTTCCTATTGTATTATGTTTTTATGAAAATTCTTTTAAAACACGTGCTACAACTTTTTAAAAGAAAATACTTTTCTTAAAAAAAATATTTTTCTCTGCAAATATGATTAAAATTTCATTAGTGTCTTTATGAGGGAYATAAATAAAATAAAAATTTTATTAGAAAAACCCTTATTTTTAAAGACAAAAAACTGAACAATAAAATTATTAAACTTGGCCTAAAACATCTTTAATCTCAAATACTAATAAYTTGTCAAAACGAACATAGTTCAACGGTAATTGGCATATATCTCCAACCATGAGGTTGTGAGTTCAAATCCCCTCTCCAACATGTTGTACTAAAAAAAAATACTAATACTAGTAATTTAGTCTTCATGGATTTCTTTTTAAAAAAATTAATAACCAAAGTTATTGACAGTAAAAATTTCATCTAAAAATAAATTATTCATTAAAATGGTTGGAAACTTGACGGCTTTGTGGAATTCTAAATTCTCCTCCCACTAGCACAGCAAATAATTAATGATAAAAGCGAAGGAAGGAAAGTAAAGAGAAATTGAAAGAATTTAACACTAATTGAAGGCAAATATTATAGGTGCGAACTTATCGGTTAAGCATTTTGTTCCTTTCGAAAATTCAATCTTCTATCTCTTACCTTTCTTAGATTTCTTAGAGTTCCAAAATTCAATCTTCCATATCCACATTAATTTTATTAAAAAAACAAAAAACAAAAGAAAAAGTCATATAGGTCACTAACAAATATACCAAAAAAGAGAGAGAGAAACTCTCGCCTTGAAGTACTTAGAATGAAGTATATCATTGATAAATTTAATATAAAAAAATCTTTAACCCGAAAAAGACTTATCAATGATATACCAAATATGAACTTTGTCATTCATATACTTATTGTGACTAATATACTTCATATTAGGTATATTACTTATATTAGTGGTATACTCAGTATTCAATCTATCAATTATATAACTGATGTACTTGATATAATAGTAAAATTTACTTTCTATACATAAAATGAAGCATATCACTGATATAGATTTGATATATCAATAAGAAGCCAACAATGTTACTTAAATTAAAGACTTTGACCCGGAAAAGATTTAACAGTGCATATTAGGTATACCAATCATATATATCATTGATATACTTGAGATATGGTATATCAGTTACATAACTGATATATATACCTAATATCAAGTATATGATCAACGACATATTTCATGTTAGTTATATCAATTTATGAAAATTATGAGGGGCCAAAATAGAAATAACTAACGAAAAATCTAATTTGAAAAATTTTGTTATATCTTAAAAACCGAAAAATTGTTGCTATATTTATAAGTATGAGAGATATTTTTGCTACCAATTGAAAATATGAGAGAACAGTGTTTTGCTGTGGGACTTGAAGAACTGATAGCTTGCACACAGTGAACATGGAGTGGTGATGTAAATGACATATCATTGGAGAAGGAGAGAGTGAAGTCTGAGAAGGCAGTGATGGCTTCCCAAAGTTTCCCTTTGTAATGCAAAAGCAACAAACTTTTGGCAAACTTTTCTTCCCCTTTCTCACATTGAACTCACACATATTCACTTCAAATCACAAACCATCCCCTGCCTCACCTACAGTACATTTTGCCTTTTTTTTTTKGGGGTGGGGGGCAATAATGTCCAATAATTTCACAATGTGGAATAATATTCAAATTATTGCCCCATGATTATTATTATTTTTTTCCCATGTAGAAGACATCTCTATTGATTTAGGCCAAATTTTCAAATTAATGGAAATTCAAAACTTTTTTATTTAATAATTTTGACAAAAACCTTAATATGACTATAAAAAAGAAAATATCACCCTTTTATAAAGAAGAATACTTGCATACACGTAGGTTAGAGGAAGTAAGTGCTAACTTTATGATGTGATGTATTTTTATTAATTCATTTTTATTGCATTTAATAGCTAAGTGTGATATAAATGTCACATAAAAGATAAATAGTTGTGTAGGCAACTATATATATATATTTGTTCTTTAATTTTTATTTTTGTCACAAATTGTTTTGGTTGCTCTCTAAATTAATTTTTAAAAAACTATGAAATTCTAACTAAACTTTTTAAGGATATAAATGGATTTCTTGGATGGATGAATTTTGATAAGTGTCCAACATTTCAAGAGCATTTTAAAAATATAAATGAAGTGAAAACAAATTTTGAGTTTTGACTTCAAAATTTTTAAGAGGGGTTGAAGTTTAATTTGGATGGTGCTATTTTCCTAAAATTTCAAACTTTTTGCTATATTTTAAAATAGATATTTATTTTACGTTATTTATGTAAATATCTCATTTTGATCTCCCAGGTTGATAGAGTAATCCTTGATCCTAATTTTCAGTATGATCAGTACTTGGGCCAACATGAAATTTGTGGTTGGTAGTAAAACACCCATTCTCCCCTTGAGATTTAATTCGATCTTCATAGATTTATCGAGATATTTTCTTACAAAGTTTTTTTATAGCATCTATAACAGCCTCAGGTTAGGTGGACAGCCCGACAAATACACATCGACAAGTCCTTAATACTATGAGTAGTTTAGGGACTTAATAAAGGTTTTTAAAGCATGTCAAGGGAAAAAGATGAGGAAGACTTCTCTATCCTCATCTCTACAAAAATCTTCGTTAGACTAGTTGTGGATCAGGGCGTGGATTTATATGGGAAAAGTCCCGAGAACAAGTTCGCAATAATTTTTTTTCGTTTATAATCTTGAAATATATATGTTAAAGAAATGAATTACAAAAATGATCTCAAATTACACTTAAAAAATTACGAAATTATAGTATTTTGCAACTGATATTCCAACTCAATAGAAAAATTAGCAAGAAAAGGCACAAATTTTCTTTCCCTCCCACCAAACCTACATACCATATTTTTGCCTCTAAACAATCCACACTTTGGACAAACAAACAAGCTGATTAAACAACTTACCAAATAAAGAAAAAGGAAAATGGGTTTGGTTTGGTAGAATTTCTTCAAATTTGTGAAAGAAAAAAGAAAGAATCCTATTTGGAAGTCAACTTGAAAGAAAAGATGGACAAGAAATGTCTGCTTATTTGAACTACAAACGGCATATTGAAGAAAAAGACTGAGCCTGGAATTTACTTTCTTGGTTTCCAACAGCAAACCAGAGGCATCCCTAGGTTTCATGTTATAATCCAGCAAACCTTACTTTACGACTCAGCTTTGATTTGAACAACGTACGATTTTATCAAATTCGCCAGCGTCGAACAACACATTTTTATTAAGGTTTCGTACGATGTAGTGATTCAACAATGTCTGTATCTAATCATTTAGTTTAATTTGGTAGTTCCATGCATCTAAAAGATTTCCTAATAGGAAAAGAAAAAAAAAAAACTTTTATGTCACTTAAATTTCTTTGTTATTAAAAGCATTTTCTGTTTTTGAAAATATAATTAAGCTCATAAACGTTAATGTGTTTCTTTATTTTGTTATTTTTGTAAGAAGAATAATACTTCCTATGTTGAGACAATTATTAAATTTTTGTCAAATAGGAAAGAGAGAAATGCATAATGGAAGATATTTTTTTATGGTTTTTTTTAAATAAAGAGTTGTCAAATTTTTAGCAGTGATCCATAAAAATTTTTCTTTTAA